TTGTGCCTTTAGTAAGTAAAGGAATACAGCTCAAGATTAAGCTCGCGGGTAAAAAGGTTCAGTAACACTCAGATAACTGGTTGACCCTCTAGTCTAAAAACTATAGGAGCTAGTGGGACCCAAAATATACAAAGCATCCTGAGAAGGGGAAAGGTGAGGAACTGCCCAAAAAAGGAAGCAGAGGACATTGTTGTAAGTGTATCAGAATTTAAAAGCCACAGTAGTCTTATGGCTCTGTTTAGTTTGATTATTTTTCTGGTATGTCTATGAGATTTTAGGGCACAGACAGCTAACCCAAAAATATGTTATACCACAGTATAACATGTTATACCACGGTAACTATCCTTCATTTCCTATTAACTTAAACTGAAACCCTGTATTACTTACGTTGTCTTACTATGACTGATCGTATTTGAAGCTAGTTTGTTAGACTGCTATTTTGACTGATTTTATTCAAATTTGGTATGCTTGATAGTAGCAAGTCTAAGAGTAGAGACAACTACTCTGAAGATGACAAGATGTAAAACATATCCATTCCGGCTTTGGTTATTAACTGCTTTCAAGTCCTACAATGTCTCCAAAGATTTGTTTTATAAAAATACCTATGTAATGCTATGCTTAACTATATAATGCCTGATGATGTTAAAAATTCTATTGAAAATAACAAGAGAAAGCATAGTAACTACTGTAGGTTACCTAATATTGTGGTCTTGTATGTCTTTGTCATTTCATGTTTTTCTAGGAATTTGTTTTGTTGTCTTGTTTTGATCTGTTTTTCCCTAAAATACAGAAAGGATAGATACACATGTAGAGATTCACACATGGGAAGAATTTCTAAACTATTTACGGGAACAGATTATATAATACACGATGTAATGAACAGATACTCTGAAGAAAAAGAGACACTAAGAAACCCAATGCTAATTCTGTAGCACTATGATATGAAATCTAGCAATACTATTATTCACTGTTCAGAGTGGTATTAGTCTAGTCTCTTATGTTCAATTTCAGCATACGTAAAGTTAAAAACAGCTACTTCGAAGAGAATGAGAGACATTATGGTAGTTATTATTAACTTCCCCAAAATCAGATCTTGAAGACCTAAAAGCCTTCATCCTGTAATGATTTGGTTAGTTCTATAATTTTCAGTATATATTCAATGTGTGTGAAGATGGGGACAACTATTTGGAGGAAAACTAGAGACAATAAGATAGACAGTGAAGATCTCCAGTGGACTTGCTTAGAAATCTGTGTTTCTTTAAATTGTTTCCTTATGAACTGTTTTGATATGTTTAAACTTACCCTCTTTAAGATAAAAAACAAGTGTGTAGGACTGATAACCAATGTTACTAAGTTTTTGTTGGATCATGGAGCAGAACTGTTTGCAGTGTCACTATTTGAATATTACTTTGTATGCTTTAATTTTGTAACTTGAACAACTATTCCTAAGATTACAATATGTAAATTATCAACTAGTGATTTCTTACTGTTTATTTTTCTGAAATTCTGTATTTGTACCCTTTTTTGTTTTTTCTCTTTAAATAAAAAAGAATGAGACAAGAAAAAAATGATCAATTAAACAATGACAACACTAAATGCTTTTTGATGAAGTAACAGATTAGTAGTATAGTTATCAAACATAACAAATAAGTGGCTAATTACTTGTTTTTATGTTTGATAAATAATTCATCCTTTTAAGTTGGTATACATTATACATATTGCAGCTTAGATATCTTTAATATTTCTTCTTTTGCTTTTCCCTCTGTAGCCTTTCCTTCTACCCCTAGATTCACTACTCATTTTGAAAACTTCTATTTCCTATGGTCTTTTATTTCCATCTTTATATCATTTATTCTTTGGTTTTCTCATAGAAAAGAAATGAATCAAAATTGAAGCTGCAGACTACTTCATTTTGTGTGGTTTTCCTGTGCATCCATTGTACTACATGTAAGTCCTGTTTATCCTTTCTTATGGCTAAGTAGCACTGCATTCTTCGTTATACCATGTTTCTTATTCATTCATCTATCGATGAACATACAGGCTGTTTCTTAGTTTTAAGATCAGGGCATTGTTGTTATGAACATGTGCGTCTGTATTATGTTAACAGAGCCTTCGGAGACCCACGTGGAAGAGGTAAATCTTGCATCAAATATAATTCCTAGTTTTCTAATAATGTTTTTTTCAGTGGTTTTACCAGTTTACTTTGCTAACACAAATGTTAGTGTTCCTTTTACTTTAAACCATGAGAGCACTTCTTGTTATTTAAGTTAGTGCTGGTAGCCAGCTTTTCTGAGGTGAGATGAAATCTCACATTTCTCTGTGGTGAAAATATTGAACATTTTCCCATGGATTTATTTGCATTTCAATTTGTACTTCATCTTTTGAGATGTGTTTATTCCTTTTACCTCCCCATTTTTCTTTCAGTCTTACTATGGAAGGGATCTATCTTGCTGATGTTCTGGTATACCCTGTATATTAGTCACCTGTCTGAGGAGTAGCTGGCAAAATTGTGTTTCCATTCTGTTATTTGTCACTTCTCTGTTAGTAGTTTAACTTTGCTGGGCAGAAACTTTTTATTTTGATATGATAAAACTTGTTGAATCTTGTTTTTCAATTAGTTTTCTGATGAGAAATTTATTGAAGACGCCCATCTTCAAGACTTTTACCTATTTCACTAGACTCTGTGCTTGTTCTTGTATCTAGGTTTTTGATCTACTGGGGCTTTAGGTGAACCCATGTTGTGAGACAATGGTTTTGATTCCATCATCTCCCTGTGGAGAAGATTCTCCACGTTGTTTATTAAAGGAGGGTTACCTTTCTTCAGCATATGCTGCGGGAACATTTTTTCAACGATCAGATTTCTCCATGTACCTATAGGGTTATACAGTCCTTCCTTGAATTTAATTAGCCACGTGTTTTCATAGAATATGGAATTCACCAAAGCTTTGTAAAATAACTTGAAACCTGAACTTGTGATTCCTGCTGCTTCTATTTTACTGCCCAGCAATGCTTTTGCTATTTTGGTCCCTCCCATTAAGAATGCTGTTGGTGTTTTGATTGGGTTTGCATTCAATATGTTTCAGTTTTGCAAATACCACCATTGTGACAATATATATTTTGCCTATTCAAAAAAAGGGAATATATTTCTATTTTTGAGGTCTTCCTTGACTTCCTTTTTCAAAAAAACCACATATTAATCATCAGAGAAATCTTTCACTTCCCTGTTAGGGGAACATTTTTGATGTTCTATTTAATAGCATTTTTTATTTGTTTTGCAGTGACTTCAATTTTTTCATTGTTGCTATTAACTTCTGTGACTGATTTTGCATCCTACTAAATTTCTCAATTTCCTTATTAGTTCTAGGTTACCACTGAGTAAATTTCCTTTAACTTTTCCATGCAGATAATTTTGTCATTTATAGTTTGGCTCATTCCTCCATGTTCCCTGTATATTTCTTTCAATTGCTGATTACTCTAATATTTTGAGTACTGTATTGAATGGCACTGTTGTGTTAAACAGTACCATACTGAGTACTGTATTCAACAGTATCTTAAACAACACTGATAATCAACAACATTGTCTTCCAGATGTGAGGAACTTTTTCAGTATCTCTACTGATTTTAGTATGATGTTAATAGTAGGAATGTCATTAATGACTTTTAACAAATTGACAATCGTCCTTCTATTGAGAAGAAGCCAGGTTGCCAATCTCATAGATGAGGTTATAGAAAAGGATAAATAAAACACAAAATGCAGCAAGATATGAGGTTCTATTTCTAGGTCAGAACTTTCTGGGAAGACAAAGATTTCTCTGGATTACTGATATTTATAGTTTTCATTAAACTTGGGGATGCTGCAGGAAAATGGACAGAGTAGTTGAAGCATGAAGTGCAAAATGAGAGATGCCAGCCCTCTCATGTGTGTTTGCCCCCATTCATGGTTTTTGAGAGAGGAGAATCAACAAGCTAAGCCCTAAGAGAGGAAAAAAATTGCTCTAAAGGATACAACTGTGTGTTTAGGTGTGTTAAGATAGATGACCATATTACTAAGTCTTTGTTAGATAACTGAACACAACTGTTTGCAGTCTCACTGTTTGAATGTCCACTTTGTATACTTTAATCCTGTAATTTGAACAACTATTTCTAAGATGACAATATGTAATCTATTAACTAGTGATTTTTTTACTGTTTTTTTTGAAATTCTGTATTACTTGTACCCTTATACAGTTTTGTGTTTTTTTCCTTTAAAAAAAGAAAAGCTAACCCTGCTGTGAGTTGGTGCTGTGCATGGGCTGACTGGGTGAGAGCCAGAAGCCAGCCCTCTCCTTAGTCAGCACCATTTGTGGACTGTAGGGGAGAACAAGAAGTCAACGCGATGCTAAGACCACTTATGATTTGGCACCATGTGCAGAATGATTGGGGGAGAGCCAGATGCCAGCTCCTTACGGCATGCAGGCAGGAAGACAAAGAGGCTATGTCACCCAGCCCATAAGTGACTAGCTGACCTGGAGAAACACAGGCTGTGATGATAACTAATAAGGGAAAATACAATTTAATGTTTGTAGTATTTAGTGTTTCACTGACTTTATAGGCTAGAGCTGGTAGTCTAAAGATCTATTAACAGGATAACAATACGCAGTGTAGAATAAATAGGGGACCTCCTGAAGGTGGCAGCCATAATTCTCTATTGTTTTGAAATCCTGTATTATTCTCACTGTTTTGCTTGGTTGGATTTTTATTGTTTTATATTGTCTGATTTTATCATACCTAATGGCATGGGCAGCTATTTCAAAGATAACAAGATATATTATGATACCCATTTTGGATTTAGCAATATGTTGAGAGTATTGCATTCATTGTTTTGCTTTTATTGCTTGTATTCTGTTCTGTTTTGTTTGACTTTACTATATCTGAGGGTATGACAGCTGTTTTGAAGACAAGATGCATTAACCATTGTTGATTTTTTATTATCCTGTTTTGAAATCATTTCTCATTTACAGTTGTATTGATAGGCTTTTATTTTCCTTGGTTTTATTCTAAATTCACTTAGAACTTCTCATATTTTGACACATGTTCCACAGATTTGCACAGGTTGTTTCCCTCTGGCTCCCCATTTGACTTAAATCACGCAATTCATCTGTGCTTGAGTGGTAGAATATCAGACATAAACTGCTGTTACCACTAATATTTTCTTGATTGTAAGCTGGTGGGAAATAAATATGCTCAGGATAAAATGACCTCTGTTTGCAGTTTTGCTTTGGTTGCACTTACAGTATGCATTATGTAGTGTTCTGATGATGATAAGAATTAGAAATGAGCTGAAGTAAAATTATCCACACGTGCAAGTATGTAATTGTAAACTATGTATTCCACAATGTAGTAGCTCATGACACATATGAGGCATTCAATATTTCATTATACAATAGATATAAAATTTTTTCCTGGAAGGGTGGTAAGTGCCTAACCCCACATTTGGGAACTTTAGGATTGCCATGAGCTTAAGACTACATGGTAAGACTATTACAAAAAAGGAAAAAGGAGTAAATAAGACAAAATGTGGCTTGTCTAATTAACATAAGTTAAGGTGAGGTATAAATGTTGATCTAGCATTATTGGAAGGAAACCCTATGGTAAATGGAGACCCTACTGAATTAAAAGAGAAAACAATGCAGGGTATTTTACAAGGCACTGCAGTACCTGAAAGTAAGGAGGCAAAGTAAGTCAAGCATGCCAGATGGTCTCACCCTGACAGCTTGAACAAGTCTTATGTGGCATCAGTGACATCATTTCCTTCAATCATCATACGTTGGTATTACTGATGACAAAACTACCATATATTTATCTCTAAATTTGATAAAACAATATAAATTAATCACAAAATTACTCAATTTCTATTTTAATAACTGATTTGAGCTTTCCAGGTTAAAAAAATTTATTTCTGAAGTAAAATGTATTTTCAGCTTCAAAAAAGTACTGTTTATTAAAGAACAGAAACTATCCTAAAACAAACACCAATACGGTAAAAAATTCCTGAGGATTTTCTTGCAGACAAATCATATCATCATTAAGGAATGTAGAAAGGCTACTTACTATAATATATTGTATCTTCGTTGAGAAAATATATGGTCCTGCTGGTCTCTGGAGTAAGGGACTCCAAAAAATACAGATATCTTTTGGATGGTGTATTAAATAATCAACTCCAACATAAATCATGCCAAAATGAGCCAAAAAAGTAAAATTTAATGATAAAAATCAACTCATTGTAGACACATGATATTAACGTCTCTGATGCAGAGAAAAAATGGACAAATTTAAGCACTGCCTATGATTTGTAATCATTCTGGGATATGTATTGATATCGTCTTACAATATTAAAAACATATTTGCTAATTTACAAGTTGTTTGAAACAGATGCACTCTTAAGACACATGTACAGAAGTTATTAGTGTTAAAATTATACACTATGATATCCATTTAAAAATTCATGCTAGAATAAAGCACAGTACGCAGCAAGAGTTTAAATACAAGCTAGTGGGATAATGACAACAGTTAAGTAAAATTCAGTTTTAGAGTCATGGTACAGCACAACTACAAAAGTAAGAGAACACAAAGCAAACACCCCCCACCAAATAATGAACCTAGTGCTGTGTACAGAAATACAAGTCACTTAACCTAAAGCTCTATCAATGCCAAATAAATAAGACAACTATCATCCACTTTAAGAAAACAATACTAATCTCCTGTGCTGCTGCTTACCAAGGAGGCACAAAAATGTATGTTTTTAAAAGTGAAGCTCTAATTACTTAATCCAGAAATCTACATTAACACTGAGTTAACAGGGCTGGGGATTTAGCTGAATGGCATAAGCATCTGGCAAGTGAGAGTCTGAGTTTGCTCCCTGGTACCAAAAACGATGTTTCCAGTATCTGTACTTTAAGGTATCTCCTCCTCATATGTATTTTCTGGAGAAATAACTGATATTTTAATATAACTCATCTTTAGGTTTAAACTACACAAAGTGATCAAAGGATTAGGAAAATTATAGCTGAGACCTTTGGATATTCACCATAGATACAACACTCACTCTGAGATGCAGTGTAACTGATAACTTCTGTACATCAGTTATATTAATGTTTTGTCACAGTGCTGTTACACATGCCACACGAATTAAGCCACAATGACTACAGGTGTTCCCACATGATGGATATTCTTATGAACTTCTCTACCATGTGGTGCAAGGTTTAATAGAAATTCATATAATAATGAAGATTTCTCATATTCTGTATTTCTATTAACTTTCCTAAATTTGTAGGTTTTGTGATTTATTGGTATCAATAAAGTCTCACAATCCTTACCCAGGGTTTGTCTTTGGTAGTTCTTTCATGTATTGCAAGTCTACTGGAAAAATGGGAGGATATAAATAATTTCTTTTCATTCGCTTTCATGTGAGGTGAGGAAAAAAGTCCTACATGGCTCATACATGATCTGAGTCTCTTCAATATGAATTTTCTCATGTATTTAATGGTACAAGTTGGGCTGAAACTTCGGTCTCATCAGTATAAATCACTTTATATGTACGGATTTTATTCTCCCTTTTGAATGTGCATGATGTTTACAGAAGAGGCTTTTGCTTGTTTGCAGTCTTTCTCCCAAGTGAGACTTGTTATGTTTTTAACAATACTTGTGTACTGACTGCATTCACACATTGCTTATACACATAGCATTTGAAGCGTGTGGGTCTGTTCATGTCTTGGACAAGTACAGCATGCTGAAAGCTTTTCCACATTACACTGGATTTCTTCACAGTGTAAGCTTCTTTATGGATTTTTGAATGGTATGTAGAACTGCAAATTTCCACCCTAACCCTAAACACTGTTTACTTACTATTCCTCCCCAGTGTGAGTTGTCTTATGTGCTACACAATGACTTTATGTGCTGGAAGGTTTTCTATATTGTTTACATATACAGGATTTCTCTGCAGTGAGTCTTTTCATGTACTCGGCAGTAATGTATTTTGTTAGCTTTCCCACATTGCTTACATTGTGGGAGTCCATTAATGTAATTTAGAATACCTTCTTGTCCTAAAAGCTTTCGCACATTGCTTAGTGTTTCTCTGCAGTGTGAATCCTTTCATATACGCAAACATAGCTATTACACACTGCTAATGTACATATGGGTACCTTCACAAATTTTTCAGTCTTTGTGGTGAAAGCTCTCCCATATTACTTACATACTTAGGGTTTCTCCTTGGTGTGAATTCTTTGATGTTTCACAATAACCATGTGTGCTGAAAGCTTTACCAAATTGCTTACATACACAGGCTTTCTCTGCAGTGCCTTTTCATGATTTGACAATAACTTGAGTTAGATTTCCCACATTGCTAGCAAACATAGTTTAAATCCTTGGTGTGATTTTCATGTATATCCCAATAGGTCCATGCGCTGAAAGGTTTTTCAACATTACTTACACACACGGGATTTCTCTACAGTGATTTCTTTCATGTTTTCGCCTATTATCTTTTGTGCTGAATGCTTTCCCACAGTGCTCACATATAAAGGATTTCCCTGCAGTGTGAGTCTGTTCATGATTTTGCCATCTATGTTTTCTGCTGAAAGCTTTCCCACAATGCTTACATATATAGTGTTTCTCACTTGTGTGAATCCTTTCATGAACTCGACAACACTGTTTTGTCCTAAAAGCTTTCCCACACTGCTGGCATATACACAGTCTCTCTGTAGTGTGAGTCATTTCATGTATTCTCATATAACTGTACATGGCAAAAGATTTTCCACATTGCTTACATACAAAGGGTTTCTCACCGGTATGAATCATTTCATGTATTTTACAATCAGTGTTTCTGGTAAAAGCTTTTCCACATTGCTTACATACAAAGGGTTTCTCACCAATGTGAGTTCTTTCATGTGCTCGAATGTGACTGCATGTCATGAAACCTTTCCCACATTGCTTGCATACATAGGGTCTCTCCCCAGTGTGACTTCTTTCATGTAGTTGACAATAAGCACGTGTGCTGAAAGCTTTTCCACATTGCTTACATACATAGGGTTTTTCCCCAGTATGAGTCCTTTCATGTTTTTGGCAAGTGTCTTTTCTGCTGAAAGTTTTCCCACAGTGCATACATACATTGGGTTTCTCTGCAGTGTGAATCCTTTCATGATTCTGCCAACTATCTTTTCTGCTGAAAGCTTTTCCACAGTACCTACATACATTGGGTTTCTCTGCAGTGTGAATCCTTTTATGTTTCCGCCAACTATCTTTTCTTTTGAAAGCTTTCCCACATTGGTTGCATGCATAAGGTTTCTCGCCAGTGTGACTTCTTTCAACACTACCCAATAAATTAATACAGAATTTTCCATGGAGTTTACCTACGTGGTTTTTTTCTTCAGAGTGATCATTTTTATGTGTCTGAATATTGTGATGAGAATCAAAATCTTCTCCAGGTGGCACACATATACACATATTCCCCTCACTATGACTTCTTTCTCCAATTTGTGTAATGAATGATTTGGCATCTGATTTCTCTTCAATGATACTTTTGTCTGTGCAACCAGTTCTATGGGGTTTCTCCCCAGGGCTTGTGTTTCCATATTTTAGAAAAGACTTGATTTTTGTGGAGGTTTTCCCATGTTTATTATAGGTAGAGAGCTTCTCTTGAAATCCTTGTTGTTCATATGTTTGGAGAGCAGTGTTAGCCATGATGGACCAATCTGCTGATGAATCATAAGCCAGGGACTCTCTAGAGGAAATGCCTTCCCCAGGTTTTACACCACCAAGTGTCATGTGCACATCTGTAGCTGGAGTCTGCAAAATCATTTCTCCATGTTCATAACATAATTTATATTGACAGGATTGCTCTACCTCTTCACTTCTGTAAAATGGGAGAGTAACAAATCAATGCATCACATTTAATAGTGTATTTTTAGTAATGATTCACTATAAGGAGATCTGCTTTGATGTCCTCTAAGAATATTTAAACACTCACTGACTATACACGCTGCATGACAGCTTGGACAGAGCTTTTAGCCAAACTGTAGGATATATTTGGAACCTGTTTGCAATGCACAACACTTTCATATTGAGGATTTAGAATACATCTTTATGGAACATGTTGTATATATTGATTATCTTTGATAACTTTTCCTCCATGACTCCATCCTCTCCCCTTCACTGAGCCTTTTCACCTACTCCATAGTGCCTGCCTCTCTCTTTTCCACCATCTGTCCCCCATTTGCTCCTTAATTCATGTGGTGGGATTCTCATGCAAACCATGATTTGTGATATTGAAATTTCCATGTCTAATTGATTTAATCTACGATTATGGGCTCCTGAGCCAAACATGTTTTGGAAAATATCATCACCACATTGTTTTGTGGAAGATACTATGCCATTATGTGTGCACACTATTGGTTTTTCATGCTGGAAATTGAACTAGGGTTTTAACACTGAGATACATCCATGTGCTTTTATACTTTTATTCTGAAACAGAGTCTCATCAATCATTAAATTGCCTGGCTGGGTATGCATGTGTGATCTTTTTATTTAGTGTTTAAGAGTTTAGTATTCTAAGGATGCCACTTTGTGCACAGGCAATACCATATTTCCTTAGTCAACTCTTCTGTGAATGGGCAATTAGGTTTATTCCAGTGTACACTGCTACAAGTTACATTTAAGTACCACTGTAATATGAGTATTTAACATTGTGACAATATAGGTAGCAAAGCTATAGCTGGATAAAACAGAATGTGCCATTTTCTCTTTTGGTGGAATCTCTATAAACATTTGCCTACATGTTATACCACAATAACATGGGGATGTACCTTCTGATATTGTGTAGTATGAACAGACTGTGGATTCTGGAGAAATGCTTGAAAACATGATCAAAAGCGTGGCATTCGCTGCATTTTCTATACATCCACAAATCAGCAAATTTTCACACACTAAATGTGTATATCATATTGAACTACATAAAGTATCACTAATAATTTGGTTCATATGAAACAGGATATTTAAAAACATATGCATATATAATTAGAAGTTAGCTCTACGTGTATGTACAACATTTGATCTATATACTCAGCTCCTTAATGCCTGGAGTTTTGTCAATATATTTATAATTTTGAAAATGTAACGTAATTCATTTGTTCCGCTTTGGTTTTTTGAGACAGGATTTCACTCTATAATACCAGCTGGTTTTGAACTTACAATGTAGCCCAGGCTGAACTGGAGTTCTGTTTCTTTCTATAGGGAGTAGAAGAGGGTACTAGCAGCCTTGATGTTTTACATTAGCTCAAAGATCTCCCTTTTAACATCATATCCATACCACCTACATTTCTTATGTTTGAATATTTCAAATAATCAATTGTCAGGTAAGAGATACTCAACATGTTTATAATATTGGAGAAATTTTGTGAGATTAAAAAAATTTGAACATAGTCTTCCTTTTTTAATATTCTGGTTTTAATATTTTGACACTTGAGGCACATTCTTCTCATAAATGCAAATTACCTGGAAATTTTTCTGCAGTTTTTATTCTCATCTTCAATGTGCTGGTCATCTGAGTTTCTTCCTAAAGTGTACACAAATATAATGATGACTTACTACATATGTGAAAAACAGTAGATTCCAATTAGATTCATTAAAATGTAACCATGCCTGGAACATGCATCACAACATTTCCATCTCCCCATGAATGAAACTGCACTGGTGAGCATCATCCAATGTTCTCTGAGTGCATAAATGATAAAGTAATATTTTCCTTACCTAGGGCAGCCAGGTTCCTAAAAGTTTCCAACATCACATCTCCATAGAGCTTCTTTTGGGATGGATCCAGCAAAATCCACTCGTCCCTGGTGAAGATAAGAGCCACGTCCTCCAAGGTCAATGTCTCCTACATCATTAGAAACATTTCCAGGAAGAGTGAGATTCACACCATGAAACATTTCAATTCTAGTCACAGAAAGTTGACAGAAGTCTGAATTTTCCAAATGTTTCCTTTGCATCTTACACATCAAACACTCCCCATTCTTATGTGCTCATCACACAGGGCCTCTGAGGCTACACCGCATTTCAGGGCTAAAGCAGCAGCACAATGGGAACAGTGCTCCCCCTGCTGGATAAACCCAGTGTTACCTGTAGAAAGTCACTAAAGCATCAGTCAGGAGGAGGCTACAAATCAGAATTTAAGTGAGAAATGTATCTAGAAAACAATGTGATGGAGCACTCTGAGAGAATCAAAGAAAGTATCTTTTTTTCCTCCACTTATTACTCACAAAATTGATCCTATCTTCTTCTCAGTCTACTTAGCCAGTATTTTGAAACTTCAACCTGTTTTCATAGACAAATCCTGAGAACACTAAACTAAATTTATGCATGATACTTTGGAAAACCAAACCAAACCAAACCAAACCAAACAAAAACAAAAACAGTTTGTATTTGAGGATGTCTAAGAACAGTGAAGTTGCATTAAGGCAGCAATATCATTAATGTTATAGTTTAGTGACCTGAAAGGTGGCACAAGGCTGAGAAAAGGGGAGATGGAAAAATTGAAATATATATGAAATGTACCAATCACCAAGGTTTTTACAAATTTAATGGACATTAATAATGAAAGAAAAACTGAAAAAGAAAATCTTTTCAGCACCAAATACAGCTGCAAATGTGTATTTGGTACTTTAAGATACAGAGTTTCAAACTCCACTCTGAAGGACCCTGCTCTATTGGCAGAGAAAATAATGAAGAGTGTACAGATAAGGAAGAGTCTGCAATGGGCTCACATGGAAACAGAGTATCTCTTAGTTACTTTTTCTCAATGCTGAGACAATGGAGCCAATGCTTAGTTAATTTCAGCCCAGCTTGGCTGGCTCCCAGGCAGGATGGCTTGGCAGATCGGCCCAGTGCACAGGAAGCTTGGTGATGCGTGTTATTGGGAAGAAGCGAGTCATCAAGACAGGAGTGTATGTCTACACCCTTTGAGGCCACAGCCAGAGACCCACCTCTTCCCACCAGGGGTCACCTCTGACATCACACCCAGCTATAAACCCACGACAGGACCAAAGCAGTGTCACACACATGACTGAGGCGCCCCCACAAAAGCACCACCTATGTCTAAATGATGCCTATGGAGAATATCCACATGGAAATCATATGTATATCTTAGGAAAAGCCCCAAGCTTTTAGTCACAAGAGCCAACACACATAATGTAACACAGTATGAAAAGGTACACATAGTGAGCTGACTCCATAGCCATGAAGAAGGATTGGTGTAGTGAAAGTGAAGAATATGTCATCAGCTGTGTCACATATGTGACAGCAGTGAAGGCACAGCATGTAGGTAAACTCTGATTGTCACACATAACCAAATATTAGAGACAGGGAAAGAAGACAACAAATTCATGGCTGTGTGTGGCGGGCGCTCGCTGCAGGCAGCACCCGCACTAGCAGATTCCCCAGCACTGTGAGCAGGGGCAGCAGCAGGTGCAGCCCAAGGAGCCCAGCAGGAGCTGCCACAGGGAAGCTAAGAAGCCAAAGAGGACGCACTGAAGCAGGTGCCATCGTCCTGAACAAGTCTATTGTGCCGGCTGGAATCCAAACCAGAAGGTGACACAATGAACCTTGGGGCTGTGGCACAGCTCAAAGGGCAACTTAGCTGTGTGCTACTGAATGATGAATTAGCTCTTAGTCTTTTTCATCATCTACTTAAAAATAAAGGTCTTAACATTCACCACAGTGATAGGCTGTGTTCAGGACTTCAGCCTGAATTTGGCAACTAGTTGGGTTCATCAACACTGCCTCCAGAAAGTGGCACGCAGCTGGAGTTATGGTGGGCAGGGAAGGAGGGTCAGGCTGCGAACAGCTTACCGTACACATCTTAGAACAAACCTGGGCTCCAGCTGACTTGCTGCATACAATGCTTTCCCCTCAGTCTGTCTTTCCTTTATATCTTAAGAGTGTACTGACTGATTTACAGTTATATCTGTATTAGTTATTCTCTTCAGACACCAAACTTCTTCTTTTTTTTTTTTTTTTATTTAAGAGGAAAAAGAGAAAAACACAAAACAAACCAAAGCGGTGTAAGGGTACACGTAATACAGAACTACAAAAAAAAACAAAACAAAACAAAAAAAATAACAGTAAGAAATCACCTGTTAGTAGATTACATATTATCATCTTGAAAATAGTTGCTCAAATCACAGTATCAAAGAATACAAGGTGGACATTCAAACAGGGAGACTGCAAACAGCTGTGTTCAATGATCCAAAAACATTAATATAGTCAGCTATTTAACACCCCTAAACATACTTGCTGTTATATCCATTAGAGCTCTTTTTTTTCCCCTCTCTTTTTTACAACAAAATTTACACATTTTGGATTTTATTACTCCTTAGTTCTTATTACTTTTTTGGGGGGGAGAGAATACAGTCAAATATGGCAAAACAAAGCTGTCAGTCAAAACCAAGGATAGACATAGCACATGATGTAGAACAGAGTACAAGGTTATCAACAATGGTTATCAACGTTGTCCCTTGTTTCCTTAAAAAGAACTGTCTATCTCATTAGATATTATAAAGTTGGACAAAACAGTAGAGAACAAGACCAATCAAACTTAGGCATTGTAAACATTACAGGACTTCCAAAGAAGACAATAGTCAAACCAGAATGGGTATCTTAGTGAATCTTATTGCCTTCAAAGTAGTTGCCTATGTCTTCAAACTTGATACTATCATATAGAATGGAACAGAGTCTAATCGGTCAAAACAAGATCGTGGGAGTACTACAGGACTTCAAAACAAGTTAATAGGAAATCAAAAAGAGTTACTATTTATATATCCTAATTTTTTAAATTTTTTCTTTAATTAAGACACATAAGAAATGACTAAATAACTTTTTAAAAACAATAAGGGGGAGATTAAGATAAAACAGGACAAAGCAATATAACAATAGAGGTCAAAGCATGACTGTTTCAGCAACCTAGTACTTCACCACCATATAACCCGACTTAATAGTAGTTACCATAGTGTCTGTCTTTTTCCTTGAAATGTTTGGATAAAACTTCATATACTCTAGCTTCAAATATTTTCATATCAAGAAGCCCAGAATAAAGCCTTTCTTTTTTTTTTTGTCTTTTTCCTTTTTTATCGGTACCAGGGATCGAACTCACGACTGCCTGCTTGCAAGGCAGGTGCTTATGCCGCTGAGCTAAATCCCCAGCCCCAAAGCCTTTCTAATTAATGAGTGAAAACTTTATAAGGCTTCAAGGCCACCTAATGGGGAATCATGATTACCACTTATTTTTATATATTTTAATCATTACTTACATTAGGGAAACTATTCGGTATTCACACATGCGAGATTGATTTATTTCACTTATGAGTATGGTCTCAAGCTGCGCCCATTTATTGATAAATATCTCAATGTGATCCTTCTTTATAGCTGAATAATACTCCATTGTATAGAAATACCACAACTTTTTTATCCATTCCTCAGTTGATGGACACTTGGGTTGTTTCCAAGATCTGGCGATTACAAATTGTGCTGCTATAAACATAGGTGCACATATATCACTGTGGTATGATGCTTTCAGTTCTTCTGGGAATATGCCTAGAAGTGGAATAGCTGGAATAAATGGGATTTCCAGTCCCAACTTTTTGAGAAATCTCCAGACAGATCTCCACAAAGGCTGTACCAGTCTACACTCCCACCAGCAGTGCAGGAGAGTTCCTTTTTCCCCACAGCCTCTCCAGCATTTGTCAGACACCAAACTTCTTAATGTATAGGAAATATATGAAGATGGGGTCCTACACACTTGCAAACGTGTTTTCTAAAATATCTACCAATTCCCTCCACATAAGAAGCTCACTTACAGTTTCCAAGTGGTTTCTGGAGGTAATTAACTTAATTAATTGCTTAAGATGAAATTTTGCTAAATATGCAATATATATGCTAATCCCTCCAGTCAACTGTATGTATAGCATATTTTAGTAAGATCACAATAAAAGATATACTCAGTTACAGATGATTTCACATGTATATAATCCAAGAAAATAAGTGCATAAAGCACTGTAGTACATTTTAGCAGATTTATTCAATATTTAATTCAAACCTGGAAAGGATTCACTGTTGTGAGCCTTCCACAGTGCCAGGTTAGGGCATGGCTATCACAAGAACTAAGAATATCTGGGCCAAGCCACTTGAAGCTTCTTCAGCCCAAAGAACACCTAGTCCCAAGACATTCCAAACAGTGGTTTGTTAGGATAGGAGGGTATCACGTGACACCATTGCTAAAATGCATAAATAAATTCCCTGCACCAAGGGGCAGTTCCTTTCCTCCCATCTGGAGAGCAAGGGCTCCACCTGACCCCAGCTTTATTATTTATTTTGTATCCTTTCACAGTCCTTCACCCAGAAACCCCAAGGGCTGTGTGAGTGGTGGCATGTGGTGTCTGAACATGGACAGGGTAAGAGATTGTGAGGGAGGGGACACTTCTCATTTGCACACAACTAGGGGAGAAGTGCATTGATACAGGTCAGTATTCATCACTGGAGTGCACTGATACTGGCTTCACCATGGGTGAAGGTTGGAGCATTGACACAGACCTTTATTCTCTAGGGCATTCTTATCAATTAGCTTGAGAGAAACCTCTTTGGGGTCGGGGGATAAAGAGATGTATTGATTTCATTACTGGTATAATTATAGAACAAATGTATATGTAATTTCATTTCAGTATTTACATTTTTTATGGATTTTGATTAGGAAATAACGACTATAACATTCTTGAGACAGCCACAAGGAAACTGGCATAGAGCAGTATTTTAAAATCAAATCCTAAGCAGGGAAAAGATAGTGAAGGAAAGAAACAATAATAAAGTTTAAGCTTTATGTTCCTTGCT